CTTATAAACAACCATTTTAATCTTGATTAGTTATTTCTTATATACTACTCCAATTTCAGTTACAATGTACTTCTGAGACTCTAGGGGGGTGTTTTGGATTTGTTCAGTGTATAGTCCTTCATTTATGCATGTTAGGGAAAGTTCTTTACTTGCTCTAACTGTACTCGTTTACAAATACTTTTGCGGTATCACACTGACACTAATGTAGAATACTTCATTAGAGGTAAAGCTCGTATTGTAAGGCTTTTGTGTAGTTTCAGAGTTAAAACCAGAAGACAGATCTCAAGAGCAAACTGGTTTGGAAAGGGTTTATGAAAACTCTACCTATCTGTAACAGGAGCTTCTTCTGGTTTCCGAAGTTGTTCCTTTCCTCAGTTTTATGGCATGGGAGGAAAATCTCTTGTTCCTGCTGTGAAAAAGGAAATGTTCCCTGTGCCCTCATTAATGTGCTCATCTATGTTTATAAAGAAATAATAATCCTAAATTTAGATGGGTGACTCACCATGGCTTTGCTGTATTTGGAAGAAAAAACAGTTCTGTGTTGTGGCTGATGCTTAAAAGAACACTGGTCTTATTTCACATCTTACAGTGGAGCACTGAATGTTGATAGTCTCAGTATGTAAGTGTAGTATCTTCCTGAAAATATAAGTGATTATGTGTAGTATGTAATTACTAATCTAGGCCATGGAAGAAAATTTAGTGCTTTCAGTGTCCTACTTGAGAGGGAAAATGGGGAATATATAAAGAATGGGAGAAGTACAAGAAAAAAAAACCAAACTTGTGCAGCTTTAAAAAGGAAGGTGACAGTAGGTGTCAGGGAATGTGAAACATGCCAGAGATACTTGGAAAGGAAGGACAGAAGGAGGCAACTCTCTCTGGTGATGCCAAAGTTAGTTGATAGTAGTGTTCTACTTGCCTTGTGCTGTTGTTACAAGGCACTGTATTGTGCTTGTATGGCAAGGTTTTGGTAGCAGAGGGGCTACAAGGGCCAGCTTCTGAGAGAAGCTTTTAGAGACTTCCTGTGTGTATGACAGAGCCAGTGCCATCGGGCTCCAAGATGGACCCGCCACTAGTCAAGACTGAGTCCATCAGTGACAGTGGTAGTGCCTCTGGGATAAAGTATTTAAGAAGGGTAGGAAACTACTGTGCAACAGCAGCAGCAGCTGGAGAGAGGAGTGAGAGCATGTGAGAGAAACATCCCTGCAGCTACCAAGCTTCAGTGCAAAAGGAGGAAGGAGGTGCTCCAGAGCAGATTCCCCTGCCGCCCATGGTGCCAGCCCATGGTGATGCAGGCTGGGCTCCTGCAGCCTATGGAGGACCACAGTGAAGCCTCCACCTGCAGCCTGGGGAGGGCCCCACACTGGAGCAGAGGGATGTCCAAAGGAGGCTGTGACCCATGGGAAGCCTGTGCTGGAGCAAGCTCCTGGCAGGACCTGTGCCTATGGAGGGAGGAGCCCTCACCGGAGCAGGTGCTGGCAGGACGTGTGACCCCATGAGGACCCACGCTAGAGTGGTCCCTGCTTCCACACTGAAGCACTTACTGGAGAGCTGTAGCTTGTGGGAAAGACTCATATTGGAGAAGTTAATTGAGAATTGGCTTTACTTCGCATTACCCTACTCTAATTTGATTAGAGTACTTGATTAGGTAATAAACTATTTTCCCCAAGTCTGTTTTGCCCCTGACAGTAATTGGTGGGTGATCTCTCCTTGTCCTTATCTTGACCCATGAGCCTTTCAGTATATTTTCTCTCCTCCATCCAGTTGAGGACAGGGAGTGATGGAGTAGCTGTGGTGAGCACCTGGCATTCAGCCAGGGTCAACCCACCATAGGCATAAGTTAGAATATGTATTAAGCAAATAATTCAAACTGTCCAAAAGCATTTCTTTGTTTTCTTGCTAAGCAATGTATGCAGATTTTTAATTAAGAAAGCTAAGAAAAAAAAGTTCCAGCAAGAGTTAGTTAATAGTGATAGTAAGTTTCATTACAATAGCAATTACATCTGTCGAGATACTTCATATGAATGATGTGAGTAATATTTCTCTGGCAAAGGGGAGGGGGGAACTGTAGGGAATTAAAAATCGCTTTGAATCTAGGGCTACAGATATAAAAATGCCATAATTGTAATAGATTGCTATTACTTAGCTTCGTACTGGGATACAGTCCTTAACTGTGTTTCCATACTTGTAAACCCAGCAATCCTATGTTTTAAAACAAGTCATTGACTTTTATACTGTAAGTTCAGATGTGTGGCTCCAAGCAGTTACTGATGAAAGTTTCAGGAGCAAAGACTAAGGAGACCAGGAAAAGAATTAAAAGGATTATTGATGATTTTAAAAGACGATGAATTTGTAGCTGTGTAATTGTGTGGCCTGATTGTATAGCTACACAATTAAAATTATGTTCTTAAATATTTCTCTTTAGATATTTTCTGCTACCTCTAATTTCTAATTTTCAGCTGGAGAATTTAGTAGCTGGTTTTATAGAGAATTTCTCTTTTTGGGCATTGTATCTTGAAATTGTTAGCTCTTTAAATTCATGAGGTAGTCAAGATGATATAAAAGGGAAGATGCATCTCTTATTGACTTCTTGTCAAGTTTTTTTGGTTTTTTTTTTTTTTTCTGATTTTGAAAGGATCAAGGGGTTTGTTTATCCTATCATATTCTTTCCCACCCAGTCATTTCATTGACATAAAAAGTAGCGATACAGTTGACATGTTTGTGTTTAAATTACTATTAAAATTTAATGTAAGTATTGCAGGCACATAAAATCAGTATATTAGGGGGATTTCATGCAGCTTTGAAACACATTATCAGGCTGAAGCAAAGTATGCATGTGAAATTTTGATCAAGTTTAGGAAGACTCCTGAAGATGAAAAGACTTTTGCTATAAGACACATCTCAGAAGCATACTTATTCTGGAACATTAGGACCTGGATCTTTGAAGGGGCAGGCAAAATCTGAGAAACTCAGCAGCAGAACAAGTATTTCAGTACTTTAAGGGACTCTCTCAAGATGGGCTGTAGTTCTTGGAATATCTGTGGTGTCTGCAGAAAGTAACCTTGTCAAAATGCTGTATGTAGATACTAAGATTATATTTTTAAATTACTTTCTCTTCCTAAAAATGTGTTCTCGCTCTGTTAAAATATTTTTTACAAGACTGTGTTTGTCAAATAGTATTAGTTTATTCCCGAAGAAAGGTATCTAAATTTAGCTGTATCTGTGTGTTAAAAATAGTGGGTGATGAAGGAACTCTAATCCAGGGTCTTACCTAAAAATAGTAATTTGTGTAACTGAAGGTAGGTGGGGAGGGCTGTGTGTATTTACCTGCACAAGGTGCATTCTGAGGCCAGATAGAAAAAGTTATGTTCTGCAGTACATGTATTGCTTTTCTAAAAGCTTTAATCCGTCTTCATAGATAGGTATTCAGAGTCTTATGTGCCCTTGCTGTGAGCTGTTATATTTACATGAAGTTTTATTTTGCAGGCTAATGAGTATTGTTGCTGTTTGTGCTCCTTGCTCTGAGAAACCCCTGTATTTTTATGCTAGAAGTCTTGTGCATCTTTAGTACATAGAGTTAAAAATAACAAACCATAATACAACTTGATAATCATAAAAACTAAACCAAAACACACCATATGTTCTATGCAGCAGTCTTGGATGAGTATGTAACTGGTATATTTATGGCCTTGCGTTAAAAGATGTTTCAAGGCTGGTACTACAAGGAAAGATGGACTAACTGCTCCTTGTAGGGTATTTGGGAATAACATACTGCAAACAGCAGAAAGAAAGGATTTGGGTCTGCTCTTTGTATATCTTATATTGTATATCTTGTGTATTGTACGAATGTTTAACATGCCATTCCTTGAGAATATAGTAGCTTGTTTTTTGTTGCTGTTAATTTTTATTTTACTAGCTAAAGTTAGCAAATAGGTATAGTCACCTTGAATAATATTTATTGCTAGTTTGTTTCATCTTTCCTGAACACAGTTGTCTAAAATTCTGTACCATATATCAGATGAATAAGCATCAGTGAAGAAATGTACTGGTATTCTTCCTTAGGTCAGAGACAATTGGCTGTTCAAGAATATGAAACACAGAGGTGCAAAGAATAAATATAAAATTTAGCCTACATGGGAGTCAGGCTTATTAAAAAATATATTTTGAAACATCTGTACAAATAGAGATAACTGACAAAACTAGGACACTTGTTCTAAGGAAATGGCATTTTATGTGATGTAATTATTACTTGGTATTTTGAATGTCTATAATCAAGAGGTTTTTAAATGTAAGTATATTCTCCTCCATTTTCTTTGAGTGGCCCCTGTCAGTCTCTTGTCTCAGAAGACACTTGCAAACTGTACTAAGGATTATGGTAAGAACACATAGGGGGATGGCTTCGGGGAGTTAAGGTGCTGGTGAACTCAGGCTCAGAATACTTGTCCAGTTTAGCTGGTATAAAGGCAGGAGGTTTCTTTCTGCTGCTTCACTCTTTGGTAGGGATTAAAGAGATTTATTTTTTTCTTTTTTCCCTGGATACTGCCTATATTCTTGCATTATTAGTATTGGTACAAAGAAGAGGTACCATGAAATGAGGTGGAGGTACTGTGAAATGAGCTGGAGTGCAACATTAAGAGTATGCATCAATTATTTGGAAGTAATGAATTTCTAATCTGTGCTTTTCCCATTGGTAAATGTGAAGTAGTTTTCCTCTTGTTAATATAGAGGAACAGAATTAAACTTTCTTGAACAGACATGCACACACACACACTGGTGTAAATAGCTTGTGACAGCTTAAATTAATTCCTGATAAGATGGAACTAAAATATAATGTATCTTCAAAATGTCTTTGGATTATTCTTTGAGGAACAGCGAAACATTAGTGCTGTTTCAAAACTGTAGATTCTTTCTTCAGTAAAAAGTGTTGAACAAGTCCCATTAACTTAATAACATAATTTTTAAAAGAACTTACTACTTTTTTATTGTTATTTTTTGTTTTTCAGGATACAAAATTATGGATAATAATGGAATATCTGGGTGGAGGCTCTGCCCTTGATCTAGTAAGTAAATTATGTATGGGTTTTGTTATTTTACCTCACTTAATTATTTTCCTGTCTTTTAATTCTGGAAACTGTAATATATCATTTGATTATGGCAATGTTTGCTTCCAGTAAAGAAGTATTTGTCAATGCCAGAAAAATGTTATTTCCATGAGACAAGACTGATTATTTGTATAGATGGAGGGGAACTAAGCAACATAATATTGAAAGCAGGATATAAACATCTAATCTTCAGTCAATCAGAGAGCACTAGTGGCTGAAAATAGTTTTGTTTTGGTTTTTTTTTTTCTGTCTCTTAATTCTGCCACCACAACTCCTCCTAGTATCCATTTTAATGCATTTTCCCCCCACACCATCACCAGAGTCTCCCTGTTTGAAGTCTCATTAGACTCTAAATAGACAGAAACACAATTTAGTCTGGTATTAAAAAACTGTATTTCTAAGAAATAGGTGGAGCCGTGGACTCCCTCGAGGGTAGACAGGCCTTACAGAGGGACCTGGATAGACCAGAGACCTGGGCGATCACCAGCTGTATGAAGTTCAGCAAGAGCAAGTGCCGCATTCTGCACCTGGGATGGGGTTCCCAGTTTTGAATCGTGATTTTAAAAGCTCAGTGCAGGTTGTGTTTTCTGTGATTGGATGCTGTCCATTCACTTTAGCTACTAAGAAACCCTAAGCAAACCCCACTGCTCTATCAGCCTAGCAGTTTGCATTGTGGTTTAGGTTTCACAAAATCCCATGCAGTACGTAGTAATAGGATGTGATTGATATGGTACTCTATATGCCTCAGTTTCTTGAACAGACTTTGAGATTTGGGTCCATGTAAGACCTGTAGAATTGCATGTCAAAGTTTAGTGTAATGTTAATAATCAGATTACAGTATAGTTGCTTTTCAAAGGCAGTATGCGTATCTGTGATGTGATCACAAAGCAATAACTTGAAACTGTGTCTTTATGGAGCTTTTAAAAAACTTTTGAAAAATGTTTTAGATAAATAAAGTATTTATTTTCCAGTTGTTCATAAGACCACTTAGTTTAGAACTATGTCTTTTTAAAAAGAACATTCTGGGTTGTATCTCATATTACAAAGTTAGCAGAATGGAAGTTTTGAGGTGTGACGGAGTAATTTCTCTTTATAGTCACAGTGTTGTTTCTGTTTCTCCTTTTTTTTATATATATGTACACATACATGCATATGTGTATCAAATATCTCTTGTGTCTCCTAGTTAGAACCTGGCTCGCTCGATGAAACCCAGATTGCTACAATATTGAGGGAAATACTCAAAGGACTTGATTACTTGCATTCAGAAAAGAAAATCCACAGAGATATTAAAGGTAAATAGTTTTTTGTTTGTATTGTAAGAATATTAGAAGAGCTTATGCAATATAAATGAATACCCTTACAGTGTCAAATGTCTTAATTTCCTGTTTGCCCTTCTTTATTCCAGCTGCTAATGTACTGCTGTCTGAACAAGGAGAAGTAAAGCTAGCAGATTTTGGAGTAGCTGGACAGCTAACAGATACGCAGATAAAGAGGAACACCTTTGTGGGAACACCATTTTGGATGGCACCTGAAGTAATAAAGCAATCAGCATATGATTCAAAGGTAAGGTATTTCAAGGCATGGCCAAAGTCCATTCCTTTTTTAACTGGAATTACATGGGTTGGTCTTCAGAATGTAGTTAATGAGTTTGGCTGCATCTAGGTAGGTGTATGTTTAGATGATACCTAGCAGCTAAAAGCTGTTGGTGAGAGAAGAAGCTTTCCTGATTTGTATCCAAACCTTAAGTTTCCTAGTGCATTAAGCCTATCCAGATGGCAAAAAATGTTAGCGTTGACAAGTACATCCCACCTTTTATCCCACCCTACTTACGAGTATTTTTGGTGGTTGTTTAAAAGTAGAGGAGAAAAAATATATACAAAATGTTCATATGTTTCCACTTGCTTTTAGAAAAAATAGCAACATTGTTTAATATGGATTTGAGAGTGTGAAAGGCTTGTTTGAAAGTGGTGGTATTCATCTGTGGAAGAATGTACTGCGTGGGTCTGTGCTGCTCTATGACCATGTTCTCTTAGATAAGCCATACAGGGAGGGTTTAATGTTTAATATCAAATTTACTTATTTGTAGATACTTACATTACACAGGATTTTGGTTTAGCAGAGTGGTACACCAGCATACTGAAATCACAAGACAAACATGATTTATATTGTAATTTACAGTTGGATTACAATAGGAATGTGATTCCTGTTATGGGTCTCCATGTCCTTACCAGCATGGCACTTGGGTGTTCCCAGTTGTCAGGATGGAGTAGATACACTGAAGACAGCTCAAGCCTATTGTTCTGTCAAAGTTGGTTTTTTTGCTTATTTGGGTTTTATACTTCTGTTATGCTGAGCTGCATAAACCCCTCCTTGCTGTCCCTCCCCTCCCTTCCCTTTCCCTCATGCTGGTCTGACTCAGTAAGACATTGCTCTACTGGTTATGTGTGGAAGAGTGAGCTTCAAAGTCAGTCTAAATTTTACTCATTAGAATGGCAGTATTGCAAAAAATAGTAGCTATGAATCACTTGCTGACTGTCCTGTGAACATGGATGAATAATTTTTCTTCAGGATTTGAAACTGTAGAAGTCACAACATGTGGTAAAACTTAATGATTATACAGTGTCATCACTTCTTAAGGTCATGCTTCTCCCTCCCTATTTGGAGGACCTGATTTGCACTTGTTCTGGAGTTCCATTGTCACAGACAGGTGCGTTCTAGAAATGCTTAGTTGGATACACATGCAGTTGGTACTTATATCCCTGTTTGAGATCCTTTATCTCTGAAAGGAGAGGTTACAGTTCTAGAGGAACTGGGGGGTTGGGGATGGCGGTTATTTTTGGTGCTTCCAACAGGAATGGGCTTCCAACCCCCATCTTGGACTTCATGTTCAGTGTGCAGCTGGGGTGTGCTGGACTTTTTAGCCCAGTTTTTGTTGAGGAAGGTCACTAGCAGTAGAAAGCTACAAATATGTGAGGGGAAAAAAATGATGTATGTATGTGTGTGCATGTGGATGTCTATGCACGTGTACACATACAAGTTTGATTTTTATATATACACATGCTCCATCTGTGGCTGAAAGTCTGACAGAAGAAAAATCTATCCATTTGTTTTTTTAACACATTCCTCTTGAGAAACTGGAATTCAGAATAAATTGGAAGTACTAATGCTCAGTTGTTAACACAAAGACTCATCTTCACAGGTGACATTGTTCTTTCATAACCAAGAAAACCTTTCCTTCTAGAGGGAAGTAAATCACAATTATACTGGGACATCAGGAGAGCTTAGCTGATAATGCTGTTATTAAGATAAATGAAATTTAGAGCTCATATACCTATGTAATCCTCTGTGCTCAGTGTGAGGTGGCAGTTGTGTAATATGGGTTAACAAAACGTCATTTCATAAATTGGATAGTATGTTAATTGACTCAGATTTTTTCCCCCATACTTCCTTACAAAATTAAGCAGCTAAGCTCTTAGCAATAGAATACTGTCTGAACAAGGAAGGAGGAGCTGGCTTTTAGTCAGGCAATGTAGCTATGATAGTGGAATGGTTGCAGCCTGTAGTCTTGTATGAGTTCGTCAAAGATACCCTAGCATATCAACCAAGCAGGCACAGGTAGATTAGCTGGACACTTTGTGAGGACAGCAGTGATAAACAAATTCTCTCCTCTGTCTAGTACCTGGAAATAGATCTGTTTACAACATAAGGAAGTTTCAAATGTTCTGTTTGGGAGTAAAACCAGATACCTCACTTCAGATCTTTCCCATTTTCCTGAGAGCAAGTCTTGGTTCTGCCTTGACTTTGAAAGAAACAGAAAAGCCCAAAACATAAATATTTTTATTAATGTTTTGTCCTTTGGAACAGACATTTCTGTGATTGACTTTATTTTATTTTCATCTTTCTGAAGGGTTTATTTATCCATTCTTTTGACCTTTTGATCTGTTATGTCAGCAAAGCCTAGAGAATTTTGATGCGTTACCTCACATTACCTCAGGCAGATTTGGCAACAAGACTTGGATCTAGGGAGACAGTTTTCTGTAAAAAGAGTAACACATTTTGATGATTAAAACCTAGGAAACAAGTATGTTTAAATATTATCTTCCCTAAAAGAAACCAATATGCATATTGTGGCATCAGTATCAATGTGAATCCAACTCCTCAACAAAATTAAATGGTGGTACTGGTTTCTGCTGCATCACTTGACTTGTCCCTCTAACTTGGCAGTGAGCCATTTGATCTGCATTCACATGTGCATGACTTGGAGTATTTTGATTTAGATCAGACCTTCTTGGCATACAGGACATGACTTACAGGAGAAGGTCTACAAAGCATATCAGGTGGAATAGTGCTGTCAATATTTCAGAAGCTACTTGGACCAGATACTTAACAGGTTGAAAATGGTGGATAGCACTGTTCCAGACTGCATTTCTCTAGTCGGTGGATAAGAATGATGTATAAGACAGTGTTAAACCCCAGGAAAATTATATTCTTGTTGTTGTACTAACTGATGCTTATTGAGGAAAATCTTGTGCATGTTATAACATTTCCCTTTATGCCAGTATTTGAGCCTTGCCCCATATTTACATAGTGTACTTGAATGAGGTGGATAAAATGCTATTTATAGTAACTCTACCATTACTTTTTAAGAATATTTGTGTTTTGAGATCAGTTATAACTGCTGGTGCAATAGCACTTTCAAAAAGTTTTGCAAGTCTAGTAAGAATGAAAGAACTGCTTTATGCTGTCGAGTAAAAACAACCAAGGCACTCTGTACTGGTTAATCACATAAATCAGACCATGATAATAAGAGCAGTTTAGATACAAAATTACTTACAGTAAAGTTTTAAAATCTGCCTTTGCAAGTGTGCTGCTTTTGGCTGGGATAGAGTTCATTTTCTCCGCAGTAGCTGGTATGGGGCTGTGTTTTGGATTTGTGCTGGAAATGGTGTTGATAACCCAGGGATGTTTTAACTGTTCCTGAGCAGTGCTTGCACAGTGCCAAAGCCTTTTTTGCTCTTTACCTCACCCCACCAGCAAGCAGGCTGGGGGTGCACAAAGTGTTGGGAGGAGCCACAGCCAGGACTGCTGGCCCTAACTGACAAAAGGGGTATTCTAAACCTTATGGCTTTGTGCTCAGCAATAAAACAGGGAGAGGTGGGCTGGACAGTTACTGTGCACAGAATGGCTGGGCAGTGGGCAGTTGGTGATGAGCAATTGTTTTCATTTGCATCACTTGTCTTTCTTGGGTCTTATTTCTCTCTATTTATCTGTTTTCCTTTTCATTACACATGAAATTATTATTACTACAGTTATTTTTCATGAAACTGTTCTTAACCCATGAGTTTCCTCACTTTTACCCTTCCAATTCTCTCCCCCCCCCCCCTCCCATTGAGGGGAGAGCAAGTGATTCTCCAAACTAATCTTAAAAACTTTTTTTTTCTTACAGGCAGATATCTGGTCATTAGGCATAACAGCCATAGAACTTGCAAAAGGAGAGCCACCTCATTCAGAATTGCATCCAATGAAGGTTTTGTTCCTTATTCCGAAGAACAATCCCCCGACGCTGGAAGGGAACTTCAGTAAATCCCTCAAGGAATTTGTTGAGGCCTGCTTAAACAAGGACCCAAGCTTTGTGAGTTTCATCTGTTTGTCAGTGTATAGTAGGGAACCTGACTGGTTTACATGAATGACAAGGAAAAGTGCAGTTCACTTTTTCTAATACGGGGCAACGTATCAGCAGCATTGTGGTTTGTTTTTTTCTTTTTGGTTTTGGTACCTTATTTAAAATCTCATTTCTATCACGACTGAAACTTGGATTTCTTAATCTTTTTGTAGGGAGTCACTTGGCACTCTCAAATGCAGTAAAGAAATATTATTTTCTTTTTCTCTTTCTAAGAGACCCACTGCAAAAGAGCTCTTAAAACACAAATTTATTTTACGCAACTCAAAGAAAACTTCCTATCTGACGGACCTTATTGATAGGCACAAGAGGTGGAAAGCTGAACAAAGTCACGATGACTCCAGTTCTGATGACTCGGATACGTAAGTTTGATTTTTTAAAATATCCTTAGTAAACATAGGAGCCAAGTAGTTATTTCTAGCACATTTCTGTCTTTTGCTATTTACAGATTTTCAGCTTAACAGCCTTGATGAGCTAATGAAATCTTGATTTTAGTATTGCAAGGGATTTCATGCAAGTCACAGTCACTGAGAGCAATTCTGTCCCATATTCTGTAATGCCTTCTTTTATTTAGGGTCTAGGGTCCTTCCTAGACATAAGGCCAACTGTTACTCCTGTTGTGCAGACGGTAGGCCTTGCCCTGCATGGCCCAGCAGCAGTGTGCATGTATACTGTGCCGTGTGTGCCAGTGGTCACCTAAGGAAGGGAGTTGTCTCTGTGGTGGCAGGTTGTCCCTCGTTTTGGCTATCTCAGTGAAGAGGCAGAAGTGTATCCTTGCATATAAGAGGGAATTAGTGGACAGTGCTTCCCTGATAAATGGGGTTTTGGAGTACAAACCGTATTACCTAGGTTTTTCAATGAGAGGTTTTTACTGACCTTCTAGGAAGGTTGGGCAGTTGCAGCACATAGTCATGAAATGTCAAATTATTTTTTCAGAAAGGAGAAATGTTGTAAATATTTCCAGATTTTTTTCCTTTGCAATTTTTCCTTCTCTCCATCAAATTTTGATGGACATATTCAATAGATTTATGTGTTTCCTTAGGAAACCAAGTTACAAATAGTTATGATTTGGTTAACTTTTAACTTTATGGGTCTAAGAGTAATTTTTAAAATAGTGACTATCATCAGATTGCATACTTCTGAAAATCAAGTGAAGGGATTGCCACAATTTACTCACAGATGGGTGAAATTTCTCATAATAAAGAAAACACAACTATTCTCTGCAATTCCAGCCTGTGTGCTAATGGCGGGCATCAGCCTGGTTATGATTTCTTGGCTGCTATTACAGCTGTGTATTTGTCCTCCGTTAATAATGGCTTCATGCCTTCCAGTGTTCACAGTTTCAGCCCCAAACCGTGTCTGAGTTGAAAAGTAAATTACTAGTCCTAAAACCGATTTCAGATCATTTACTGACTGAACTTTGAGGTTGCAGTTCATGTTCTGTGGGATATTAGCTTTTATAGCTTGTCATAGGAGAGTAGTAGAACTAGAATGGTTATTAAGTGCTTATGAGGCAATTTAATGTTATGTCTAAGCCTGCTTTCCCCTCCTCTGTTTCCACAGCAGCTCTTGCATTAGGTATTACAAAAGAGTGAGTTGATTTGGCATGCTGGAATGCTAACTTTTCAAACTGGTAAATATTTTTCTGTTGGATCAAGTTATTAGAGCTGATGTATACAAGAAAGGTACAGTGACAGCCAGAAGTTATATGTGACTTCAAGCAGGAATCTTGGAGTTTTCTTACACTGAGTACCTGCTTTTTGACTTGGTAGCTTTTTGTACAACCCTTTTAATTGGCAGTTTTTCTTGCAGATCATTTTTAATTCACAGATCAGCCAGCAGTGAACTTAGAGAAGGGCATTTATGGTAATGAGAGGAGAAAGGTAATGCAGTGATTGATTAGTGTCAGCATAAATGGTTTTGTTCTTTTAGCTTAGCACAAGTTACAGGAAAAAAACTACTATGTTAGCCCCAAAATTGAGGCAAAAGATTAATTTTTTATGGTGATCTAGTTTAAAGCCATGACATACCTGTACTTTTTGGGGCATTTTTGTTTTTAAGTGGGAAATTTACCCTGCTAATGGGCGTGAACTCTCTTCCTCAAAGGTATTCTGAGGTAGTCTGCACTTGTTGTTTAGGCAAAAAAGGGAATTAAATCTTCTCATTTTAATCCCCTTCCCTAATGATTTGAGATACTCCGCTAAAGCCAGTTTTCAGATAGCACTAGAACACTTCATGTTAGTTGGTTTGTGTAACTTGGGAAAATGCTTTAAATCTGTAATGCCCCTTTTTTTCTTTGAAGTTAATTTCACTTCTAGTGAAGTATCTTTGTTTTGTTTTGTGTTTTGTTTGTTTGTTTTTTTATTTTGTTTCTCCAAAAGACCAAGTACTTTTCATACTTGTCTTTATACTTATTGGTCTGTACAATTGAATCCTGATTTTGTCTTGATCGTAGTTTAGATGTTTAGTGTGTATATTGAATGTAAATGGACAGTAAGGTGTAGGTAATTAAACTTTTTGTATTTGTTTTCCCTCCCTTGAAGTGAACAAGATGGCCAGGCTTCAGGTGGGAGTGATGCAGGAGAGTGGATCTTTACAATAAGGGAAAAGAACCCCAAGAATCTAGAGAATGGAGCAGCCCAGCCTCTGGAGTTGCAAAGAAATAAGGTGCTCAAAATATTGACTATATTATACCAGGAGATAATTCTTGCTTTAATAACATAGTGGATTGATTTTTATTTTACACCTTGAAAAGCATTTAAATTGTAAAACTTTCAGAAGTTTTGCTAAAAATGCATGTTTATTTGGCAGTTGCCTTTCACAAAACATTTTGAGTAAGTCCTGATGTTTGGGTGTTCTGTAAATGTGTCCTATTTATAGCACTGGAGGAAGAGCAGGCAGGCAATACTTTATTTTAAAAATCTTCCTTTTGTAAAGTAAACTTAAACCAGTGCAGTACAAAGATAGGGGTTTGGGGGAGGCCTTCTGGTCTCTTGGGAAGAAAGGCTGTGCTGTAGCAAAAATAGGATGTGCATGTATCCAAAACCAAAATAACCAAACCTAAACCAACCATAAAAACCCCCAACAAAACCCACCAACACCAGGCCCCACAAAAAAAAAAAACAACAACAAAATAGACCCCAGGCCAGACTAAGGGATGTTCAGGAGCTGCTCCATCGTATTTTCTGCAGCCTGTGTAACTAGGACAGGTGGTTGCTACTGCAGCTGTGAAAATTCTGTGTGTGTGCTCTTATCAGAACTGGAGAAGTACAGGAAAATATTGAATGATATGGGAGGATCCTAGTAAATGTCAGCATGTCTGTGATTTAGTACCTGCTCAGTAGGATTGAGTGTATGGGTGTTAGGTTTTGTCTTTTCAGTTTTGAGCTTACATGTGTTTGAGGTGCTGTAGCCTCAGATAACTGTAGCATGTTGGAACTACTTTTTTATTTAATTAGTAGCAGAATATAATGAGGTTGCTTTTCTCTAGAAGTAAAATTGATCACAATTTTGTTTTCTTTAAAGGAAAAGGATATCCCAAAGAGGCCTCTGTCCCAGTGTCTGTCTGCAGTTATATCACCTTTATTTGCAGAAGTAAGTTATTGCTTTAAAACCTAACAGGTCCAGGATTTGTTTCTGAAAAATAGAAAAATACAGTGAATGGCACCTAAGGTTTCTACAACCCATTTGGAACATAATGTGTTACAGCTTTAGCTGTACCCTTTGCTTTCATGCCTGCCTGCTCTTAAGATCTTTGTTCTGCTTCTAATAGTACTTCATGTGAATGGTAGCAGCGTCAACCATGGTAGCCTAAAGCGGTGAACATGAGAAATACTCGGTGCAATAAAGCAATTAGAATTATTTAAAGGGGATGTCCTCTGTATTGGTTAGTCAGACTCCAGTGTTAAGTCAGCCTGACATTCTCCTGCGTAGAGTGGAGAAACACTTTAAATGGGGATTTTTTTATTTTTTTATTTTTCTGGCATTCTCCATTGCAATTCTTCATGCGTTATCCACTTGCTTGCCTCTGTTTGCGAATTTTCTTTCAGTTCTCTACCCTTCCATCTTCCACACATTTTTCTGGTTGCTGTGTGTCTCCTTTAGGTCTTCCTTCCCCTTTTCCAATACCAAGCATGATACAGGTCCTGCACCCAGTGTCATCCACACTCCATCTTCTATTTTCGTTCATTCTTTATTTTTCATTTTTCTCATCACCATGCCCTTTATTGCATGATTTCTAGAAATCTCTGCTCCGAGTTCTTCCTTCCCATGACATTGCTAACTGGTTGCTGTCATTCTTTACCTTTCTTGCTTCCTATCTTCATTTTCAGTGTCATTCTTTTGATTGCCATTTGCTGATCCCTGTGAGTATATGATTCCCCCAGCACTGTTGTAGCAACACAAATATTTTTCACTACAGTCCTTATTCAAATTGCCATTTACTTTCATCTCTATAACATGTAGAGGCTACAGAAGGTTTTTTCTTCACACACATCTTTTCTTGCTGTATGAGAAGACTCTTGGTCTGATATCTGCTGTTTAGTTATACTTTAGACTCCTCTTCCATGCAGCTTCTGGAGGATAGCCACAACTTTCCCAAACTCTTCTGGAATCTTGTTTCAGGGTTTCCTTTTTATTATGGGCATGGTCACTGTCTCTACTCTCTGGGGATGCCTTATGTTACATTTTCAGTGTTCCATTTATTTAGCATTCAAACTGAAGGTATCTGCACCATCAGGAGTTATTGCAAGTTAAGTTAGTGAGTTGCTCTATGGATCTCCTCCAGAAAGAACAAAGCTGCCCATTTGAGCTTTTTGTCATCATGGAGGTGTCAAAGGTTTTGGCACAGAAAGCCAAGTACTCTCCCTAAGTAATCTTAGTGAGGCACTGAGACCTTCCTTCTCAGCCCTCAGTTCCTGGCTGATTGTGGGATCCTTTGCTTCGGGGGCTGGGGGGAAAATGAGAGAGTACTTGGGGTACCCTGTTAATAGAGGTGATAGGGTGAAAACATTTTCCATCAGTGCTTGCACAAGTGTACCTGCAGTGTATACATATAGGTGTAAAAGTATGTATACTATAGTGAGTATGTGTAAGCAGCGCATATTGAAATTACACAGCTACAGGTAAATAGCGCATGTAAATAGTGCGTCTTTCTTGGAATACTTTGTAATTTTTCAATTGAAAAGGATATGTGAATGATGGAATACTTGTGAAGATGAATGATATCCTGATAATTACTGCGAAGACTGACTTCAGGATGAAAAAGGCCTTCAGGATGTGAAGGTGTATAATGAAAGTCAGATCCTGGCATTGTGAATACTGTTGGTCACTTTCTTACGCAGTTTTGCTTCATATTGTTTGTAGAAAAACTTATGAATCTCTTATTAATGTATCTCTTCCTGGTTTTCTTTCAGTTGAAAGAGAAGAGTGAAGTGTGTGGTGGTAACACAGATTCCATAGAAGAACTGAGAAAGGCTATTTATTTAGCTGAAGAGGCTTGTCCAGGCATTGCAGATAAGCTGGTGTCGCACCTTGTGCAGAGGCTTCAGAGGTAATGAAATTATTTCCCTAAAGGTTACAGAAAACTGCAGATTTGATTATGCAAATATTTGGCTCGTGTTAATTTGAAATAATTAATTTCTATTCAAAGAAAGTTAAGTGCTTGCTTCCACTATGAGAGTGGTGAGACACTGTAACAGTTTGCCCAGAGAAGTTGTGGCTGCCCCATCCCCAGCAGCGTTCAAGGCCAGGTTGGATGGGGCTTTGAGCAACCTGGTCTAGTGGGAGGTGTCCCTGCCCATGGCAGGGGGATTGGCACCAGATGGTCTTCAAGGTCCCTTCCCACCCAAACCATTCTGTGATTCTGTGAAAAAAGGCTGGAACTTCAGCAGCATAAAATGGAGTAACTTTTAGCTGCCGGTTGTTGCAGAACTCCTTTCTGAAAATCACATCAAGAACTATTTCTTTTCTCTTTCAGATACTCACTAGCTGGAGGAAGTACTTCATCCTACTGACCTACTGTTCCTGGTTTTTCTAAGACAACTGAAATTCCACAGTATCTGCAGTGAAGGCGTACACCCTGATGTTGTTCTGCTCCTCTGTCATTGGAATGTCCTTTGGTGGAAGGACATTCCTAAACATACAAGAGTGAAAAGGAAGTCTCTCGGATGGAGGCAGACCTTTTCGTCAACTTAAAGCTATAATTTTTTTAAAAATGTTAATGCACATATTCCAGCGGGGTGACTTTTTGTAAAATCTGAAATGTATATTTAGGTTTGTGATAGAGAAATTGAAGATATTGAGAAACCTCAGGTATCTTGCTTTAAGAATTCCACTGGGAGATGGCGTATGTTGGAATTGTGTACAGATATGTATATAATGTCTTTTTTAACTGAAAGCCTTTCAACGTGGATAAGGAATCACTGTGTACAAAATGGTAAAGTGCTTTTGTAGATAATGTTAGTGGGGTAAATATTTGACAGGCCATAACTGAGTATTGCCTTGCCTTTATTACATGTAAATTTTGAACTCTGTGATAAGTGACTCTTGGTTTGATTTTTGTATGTGAAGGATTTGCCATTGAAAGAGTTAATCCTGTACCATGGAACCTTCTACTAGTACCTCAGCAATGACACAACTTTATTTCTCCAGTATTTCTTACTTCTTAATCTATATTCTGAGCGTGACTTTCTAATTATGGTACTATTTCTGGTTGTTTTAATTCACCTTGTCTCTCAAAACTTTAAGTTTAAATTATTGTTTTCCTAAAGAATAAGCTCTTTCAGTTCTTCAGTTTTAAATTGTGCCAATGCAAATTCTGAACACTGTATTGTTCAATTTTAGTAATAGGTGTTTGTGAAGCTTGTAGTGAAATTCAGATACAATGTTTTTTCCACCTGACCGTGTTTGAATGCTCACGCAAATAAATTGTTATCTTCATTTATTCTGAAATATTTCCATAGAGGTTGGCTCTGAGCTCTGAGACAGTGGCATGAATTTAATCCTCATCCCTATTCACATCATTAAAATGAATGTCTTGCCGTGTAAAAGAAAAATTATCCACAGACTCAGTATTCGGTCTTGCTGCCTAAATCTGTGTGTCTCTTTACTGAAAGCGATGGCTATTGGACAGAAAGGCTGCAGAGCTGAGCCTCAGTGAGTTGAGTGGTGTATACCATGCCCTATTACTTGCCTCCCCAGAAAAAAAGTCCAAATTTTGAGATTTCCACTGTTCTCAGTGCTCCTAGTAGCTGACTTAACATTTTTTAATGACTGGAAGCAGTAACATTAGTGACACACACTGCTGATTGGGCAGCATTTTGGTTTTTCATGCTATTACTCTAGGTTCATCTTGGTGTTTTTCACCAAGGCTATATTCAGGTGCTGCTTATTCTTGTAGCTAGGAGAGCTCTTTTGCCTTCTTTTAATGAGGAAATTGATGATTTTATGTTTTGCATGACAGTGAGGTAACTTACCTGTTTAATTAAAAAAAAAAATATGAATTTTGGAACAGAAAGGATTAAAACTTTTTCAAAGTACAGGTATATCTACCTGCCTTGGTACGAAAAGAACCGGGTTATCTAACCAGTCTGGAAGCTGGTGAGGTGTCCTTGCAGAACTTCATATCACCCTCATTCTATGCATATAAATTGCCTTAATTATTAATGTAATGATTTAGCAGTACGAGGACACTGGAGCTATGAACTTCTGACCTGGTTGAAACAAGTTTGAGTGGACATGCGCTTGTTCTCTAACCGGTGTTCTTAGACACAAGATGGTTGCCAGCATAATGAGGTAGTGGTTTTCCTTTATGGCTGCGTGGATTTAAGGTAAATTGAACAATGCCTAAGTCTGAGCAATGGTTTATAATTCCTCTTTTATTAATACCTTTAAATACGCTGGCTTGTGTGCTCTTAAACATTAAGGTGAGGCTTACCCTTGACGAAGCAAATGTAGCTCTGCTATTGCAAAATGCATCCCTGAATACAGTGCCATGGGAAACTTACCTGTGCCCTCTCAGTAGCAGAACATTCAGCCCTTCAGTAAATACGTGCTGTTACAGCATACAGAAACAAATTGCTGTGTTTGCATTTGAAATACAGATAGATTAACAGAAGCTTTTCTCCAGTCATCTGTTCATGTAAGGATTTTAAATTAAAGTGAGTGCACTTGGGGATGCACAGAGCTCAGAGATTTAGTGGGGAAGTTAAATTTATGGTGCTGGCTGAGACCTCAAGAATTTCTCAATCAGAAAATTGAATGAAATTGCAAGTTACGCTCTTTTTGAACAATCATTTAAAAAGTTACACACACATTTATTGTTTGAGTTGCATTTCAGTTGTGTTCCAGGACTGTATGCTGAGGAAATACTTCTCAGAGTAGCTTGTGGCAGAATTTGCGTCGTGAACGTGTCCTTTGGTTTAGAAGCTTAAGATGCGTAAGAGCTACAGCCAGGGCAATGGGCCAGAAGGCTGGGATCTTTAGGAAAAGACAAGACCTCATTTATGGTAGAGATGTGTATTTTTATATGTGATATATAGGTTATTTAAATATAGACTATCTTAAACTGAGATTCACTGCAAAACAGGTGTGCTTTATCTTGAATGCAAAATTACAATCATTTGCTTTGGAAAGTATGGATGCTTTAAAAACCGGATCTATATTGGTAACAGAAGGGGGGCTTTGTTTGAAAGAAGCTTGTCCTCAGTTTGTGAGAGAAAAAGAAGCGTGTTGATATTTTAAGAGGTTATCTTATGCTAAAATCATGTCTGTGTTATAATGTTGCACTGACGATTTTTTCTGTGCAGGTAGTGCTTCACTTAGTCTTGAATATACTAAGCGACAAGCTAGCCCTATTTATGCAAACATTTAAGTTAGTGGAACTGCATATTTGTCAGGGATTTCAAGATTAGGCATTAAATAAACTCACTGTGTAAAGAAAACAAAATCAGTCATTTGAACTGAAGGCTTGCTTTTTGTAAGTATCAGATGCGTAATCTATTTTTTTAACTTAATTTTCCATGCAGTTGCACTTTGTCGATCACTAGTTTACTAAAGGACGACAGCATGATTGCCGTCATTCTGAATGCTTTTGGTGTGCTAACAGAGCAGCTCTTCCTCAGAAGAGCCACAGTTCCTTTGTAGCTCAAAACGTTTTGTGTACATCCACATTAGTATGGGCAGATCAACCAGTTACTGCGGAATGATTTACCTGTGGTGTTGCACCCTCATGGTACAGGGGGAAGGTAAGAGCGTGTGCATTGGCACTTACCTGCAAAGCAGTTAATACTTTGACTTCTGTTCCTTCTCTGTCCACTGGAACTCCTTCATCTGCCTCCGCTTTCAGTGTGCTTGTGAAATGTTTAGCTCTTACTACTTCATGTGGCATTCTGTGGTTTTGTTTGTTTTTTTAAACAACATGCTATCAGTTTGCAACAGTTTTACATTAGCCTTACTTTTAGGGAAGCGTATTTTGCCTTCAAATATGTCACTGCAGGAACGTGGCCAGAATTGCGAAGAAGCATGGGGATAACACAAGGATCAGTACGATCGCAAATTATTTTTCTAAGTTGCTGGGGAGGAGCTTGAAGTATAGCACAAACCTGCAAGCTTGCTCTTTTTAACTGTAGTTTGCAGATGTGCAAGCATCTGCAGCGGACAAAGTGACCGCAATGGTTTCCTGCCTTCTTGGAAAGCATGATTACAGAGGATGATTCCAGTGTGTATGTGGTTTTCTGTAACATTGCTGTCTGTTTATAACCGTGTATTTAAGTTTTACTTTTGTCACTCTACACCAACATAATAAAACTTGTAAACTACGTGACCTAGAAATAAAGAAGGAAAAGTTTAATGAAATTTTGCCATCTGAGTGGTCAGTAAGATGAGATTTGGGGCTCTCCTCCCAGAAGGCGATGCTCCTGCAGGGTTCCACCTCAGCTATTGTGCCTGTGTTGGTACTGGTAAGCAGAAAGGTTATAAACTGGTGATCAGGTTTTAGTTGTAATAATCTTAGAATTTGTACAAGACAAAACTCTTGCATAAACTCAAACACTTTCTGAACACTGAGAATGTTTTTTGCTGTTGGGATATTTAATAAGCTGATTTCTGACAGATGGTCTAACCATGTGGGAAGTTTAGTTCTTTTCTTGATTAAGGTGGATTTTTATCTCCACAGGAGTGATTGCTAGTGTACTGTCTCGGTTACATATGTGCAGCTCTGTATTAGGGTTTGTCCTATAGCAAGACAGTGTGCATTTACAGAGGGCAGTGATTTAAAACCTGCTTTGTATTCCCCATCCTGCCAATGAAGACCTTGTGTCAAATTGCATTAATGGAACCCCAAATATTGCATCCATAAGTGCTCATGTAACCTGTGACAAACCATGTGACAGCTATACTCCTGTAATTACATTTAATTAACATCTTCTGCTATTAAAAACCGTGCGTGTTCCACCAACTTTCCTGTATCCCTGGTGGAGAGGTGGGGAGGGGCATATCTGTGCTCTAGCAAATGCTGAGTCCCTGTACGGCCATCCCTATGGTTTGAGGGAGAAGACCACATAATTGGTCCTCTATAAAAAGGAAAAAAATGCTCAAAATGGGGTTTTTCAGGTTGTGCTTGTTTCTCTGGTTTGCTCTTGGCTGACAGAATAGTAGGATAGTGCACCTGGTTTTGCCTCTTTCCTTGCAAGCCCTTTTCTCTCTAGTCAGAGACCTTTATCCAGATTTCTGCAATCAGAGCAACTTTAGCTTTGCCTGCTCCCGTGCCTTTCAGTCTGCCATTTGTGGCAAGCTTCAGCTGAATTTACAAAGGCACTGACATCTCAACAGTGTTGTTAAAATTTTGTGACAATAGGTAGGCCTGAGGTATAGTGATCAACAGTCGTGTCTTAATGGAGGTTAAGTTGGACAGCAAAGAAATGATGGAGCTCTTTAGTCTTGTGGAAGAAAATCCCTAGGAGCCCGCTCTATGTGCTGCAACTTCCTAAGGTTCCTGTTTTGCTTTTATTTGTTATTTGAAGAAGCAACTGGTTATTCATGGTGAGTAATAACAGCAACAAGAGTAAATCTCTTACTGACCAGTTTGAGGTTTTCCCACTGCTGCAACAGCAAAACTGCATTTAGGCAACAGCAAAACTGCGTTAAGTCTTGGCTGCTCCCCAGGGACACGCTGTGACCTGCCTTTCTTTGTGCCCCACTGGATGGGATGACCAGCAGCATGCTGTGAATTGGGGTTGGAAGCAGCTGCTTAAGTCTCACAGCTTTCTAGTAAACTGCAAGTTTTATCCATACATATAGACTTCAACTGATTGTAAGATATGACTATTATCAAGACAGTCGCCTTTATTCTCTTACTGTTCACTTTCAGCTTGGGGTTAACCTTAGGAGTAAAGAACTAGGAAATGCTGAAAAATGAGGGCAGTTCAACTGGTTCCATTAAAGAAGAAAAAAGGGATTACTCTGGTAGAGAAGGAAGAAGAAGAAAATCTATCTATCTTATTAAAAACTTCTTATTTTGTCTAGGAAAAAAACTAATACA